AAAAATCAACCTTTGAAAACCTTATGGAGCACAGCTCTACCTTGACACACACGGGCGGCCATGAGTCCGAATTGACTCAGTGGCAACTGTGGTTTTTTGTTTTGTTTTTTTATTTTCCCTGTTGCCACCTATGCAACCTTATAAGAATTCTCTACGGGCTGGTACATTTGAGGACTTATTTTCGAGACTATTTTACAGTCAGAGAATCTAAAGAGCAGTTATTATACGAACACTTAAACCAGTATTTCACGCTTGTAGTGCTGTCTCTAAGATATTCAGATGAAGTAGGCATTACAGAGCGAACAGGAGGAGAAGCTGTAATTTTGGAGAAAAGGACGGGAATTGAACAGCACTGTCTTTCTAACCAGTGCCTTTTGGAAAGAGATATTTAAAGGAAAATCTACCAAAATAATGATTCAATTGACAAGGAAAGATGGGTTCCCCTCTGTTTACATATGCTATTGTTTCAGCCCATGATGTTTTGTTTCCTTCAGAAGAAAATATTTTACCCCCCTGAGATAATTAATTTTTGTCAGTTGCACTGTTTATAAGGGAAACTGAGAAACTGTTAATTGAAATACAGAATGAGTCACTGTTTTCAGTAATTTTTGGCAGCCTCCTAATTTGTGTCAATCCCAGCCTAATTATTAGATTTTTTGGAAGCAGAAAGCATATTTGATTTGTCTCTTACTGAAATTTCTTCTTCCTTTTTTAAAGATGATATGTGCTGCCTGACAAAGGTTATATAATTTATGTCGATGGGAGGTGAAGTACCAGAACATTTGAAATACCAGGAGGTTTACTGTGTCGCGCTTGGCTGTTCACAGTACCTCAATATTTACAAAACTCGCAGGATGCAGTCTTCCTCTCTTCCTCATTCCTACCCCAGCCCCGACCAGAAAATGTGATTCTCTTAAAGACCTTTTAGCTCGTATTAAGCCACAGTATATAGTCCATCACTAATGACATCACGGAAGTAAACTTCCCAGAAGCCATCAGGGAGAATTCATTTGGAAATCCAATTGAATGTCACTTGCAAAGGGCAGGCTCCTAGAAGAGATGGCCAGCCATGCATTCCTGAGTTATTTGTTGTAAAAGCATTCATCACTGCAAACTCATTTACCCCTAATGTGGACCTACGACATTGTTCCACAGGAATTCTGTTCCAAAGGATTGTTAATGGCCAGAGCGGAAGCTGCTGACTGTGGGCAGGGTTAATAAAATCCATCAGATCAATGGCCGGTATAATGGGCCTGTTAATGGTTCTTAATAGGAGTTGGATCTTTCTGGCCACTGCAGAATGAAGGCAGGCAGAGAGGCAGGTGGCTGTGCTGGGCAGACAGCCCCATCTCTAGCCTTGCGAGGTGGCCTCTGGGTGGAGAGAGCATTGATGTTAGTCACGGAGCGTTGCCAGGGCTCTGAGGCAGCGTGGCTGGGTGCACGGGGTGGCTTGGGGCAGGAGCAACCAGGGAGGCCATGTGAATAGCTCTGCTGTCCAATGCCAGCTGTTTGCATACCTTGCACTTGCATCCGCAGACCAGCGTGCATCCAAGCACCAGGTGCTGCTGCTATCATAGACCCTACCCAGGCCCACCAAGGAGATTAAGGACGGTAATTACAATAATAATAGTTCTAATCATAGCTAATATCTACTGAAAGCTTTCATGGGCCAAGGACTATGCAGTCATCTCAATCCTGATAGCAGCATCTCTATGAGATATGTGATGTTTGTCGTTGTTGTTGTTGTGAGTTGCTGCCACGTCAACTTCAACTCATGGTGACCCCATGTACAACCCAATAAAATGTTTCCCAGTTCTGTGCCAGCTTCAGAATCCATTGCTGCGGCCACTGGGTATTTTGAGTGCCTTCCAACCTAGAGGGCTCATCTTCCAGCACTGTTGTTGTTGATAGGTGCCATTGAGTCAATTCCAACTCATAGCGACCCTGTGTACAACAGAACGAAACACAGCCTGGTCCCGCACCATCCTCACAACCATTGTTATGCTTGAGCCCATTGTTGCGGCCACTGTGTCAGTCCATCCCATTGAGGGTCTTCCTCTTTTTCGCTGTCCCTCTACTTTACCAAGCATGAGTCCTTCTTCAGAGACTGATCCCTCCTGATAACATGTCCAAAGTATGTGAGATGTAGTCTCGCCATCCTTGCTTTTAAGGAGCATTTTGGCTGTACTTCTTCCAAGACAGATTTGTTGGTTCTTTTGGCAGTCCATGGTATATTCAATATTCTTCTCCAACACCACAATTCAAAGACATCGATTATTCTTCTGTTTTCCTTGTTCATTGTCCAGCTTTTGCATGCATATGAGACAGTTGAAAACAACATGGCTTGGGTCAGGCACACCTTAGTCTTCAAGTGACATCTTTGCTTTTGAATGTTTTAAAGAGGTCTTTTGCAGCAGATTTGCCCATTGAATGCGTCGTTTAAATTCTTGACTGCTGCTTACATGGGTGTTGATTGTGGATCCAAGTAAAATCTATATCAGACAATATTCTGTTGTAATCCATAGGGTTTCCCTTGCCTAATTTTTGGAAGTAGATTGCCAGGCCTTTCTTCCTACTCTGCCTTAGTCTGGACTCTCAGCTGAAACCTGCCCACCATGGGTGGCCCTGCTGGTGTTTGAAATACCAGTGACATAGCTTCCAGCATCATAGCAACACGCAGGCCACTACGGTATGACAGACAGACTGGTGGTGGATGTGCTATTTGTTGTCCCTATTTTATAGCTGAGGAAACTGAAGCTCAGAGAGATTCAGTAACTAGCCCAAGGCTAGATTCCAAACACTATGCCCCTAAGCAACATGTGGAAACCCTGGTGGCATAGTGGTTAAGTGCTATGGCTGCTAACCAAAAGGTCAGCAGTTTGAATCCACCAGATACCCCTTGGAAACTCTATGGGGCAGTTCTACTCTGTCCTATAGGGTCACTATGAGTCAGAACTGACTCCACGGAAATGGATGTACGGGATGAGCATCATGCTCCTTTATTAGAGAAGAGACACAGAAGCTGCAGCCTAAAATTGGACCAGAGGAAGATGTAGGGTATGACAGTGGGCCCCAAAGCCTTTCCATTTGTATGTCTAACCAGTCCACATGCTCAGGGCCAGCCTTGGGCAAAGCACAGAAAGCCATGGTTTACCTTCTATGCTGTTCCTTTAGGCTTTGTTACTGGTATTTGGGGTGCCCAACCTACTTGCCATTGAGTCGACTCTGAATCATGGTGACCCCATGTGTGTCAGAGTAAGAACTGTGCTTGATAAGGTTTTTAATGGCTGGTTTTTCAGAGTAGATCACCCGTTCTTTCTCTCGAGGTGCCGCCAGGTGGACTTGAACCTCCAGACTTTCAGTTAGCAGAGCCGAGCACATTAACCATTTATACCACCCAGGAACTCCATGGGGTGCCCTGAAAAAAAAATAAAACCCATTGCCATTGAGTCGATTCCAACTCATAGCGACCCCATAGGGTTTCCAAGGAGCAGCAGGTGGATTTGAACTGCCAACCTTTTGGTTAGCAGCCAAGCTCTTAACCACTGCGCAACCAGGGACGTTAAAATGCCAGTTGCCTCATGCGACCTAACTGTGGCCTTGACTGGGGCACCTCAGGAAGCCCTCTCTGCCAGTAATGCCTAACATTCAAGATTTGTTCTGTCTCATCGCATTTCATGTCGCTCAGGGTCTTGGTCTCCTGATGGTGTCGTAGCAGGCTCAATTAGAGGGGAAGGGAGCTACTGCCTCTTGGGGGATTATCTGAGCACATGGCTGATATGGCTGAGAGCAGAAGCAGCCCAGAGCAAGCACCCAGGGTTCCCGCAGCACTGCTGGGCAATGGAAGTGCAGGAACATGGGGACTGTGATCCCAGCGACTGTTGTTACTGACACCCTGACCCAGCTGCCTGGGGGCTCAGGAACCAGAATGGGATAGAGCTTACAGGATGAGGTCATTGGTTCATGAGACTACCAGGAACTGAGAAACCTGGGGAGCTGGGATGAAGAAGGAATGAGAGCTGGAGAATATACAATACTAAAACTATTAGATGTTGGAGTCCTTGGGTGGTGCAAATGGTTAATGCACTGGGCAGCTAACCAAAATGTTAGAGATTCAACTCCACTCAGAGGTGCCTCAGAAGAAAGACCTGGTGATCTACTTCTGAAAATCCAGCCATTGAAAACCCTATGGATAGAACTACCATATGACCCAGCAATCCTCGCTATATACCCAGAAGAAGTGAAAGCAAGAACACAAACGGAGACCTGCATGCCAACGTCAGCGCAGCATTTTTCACAATAGCCAAAAGGTGGAAACAACCGAAGTGTCCATCAGCAGATGAATGGGTAAACAAAACGTGGTCTATACATACGGTGGAATATTACTCAGCCGTAAAAAGAAATGAAGTGCTAATGCCTGCCACAACATAGATGAACCTTGAAAACCCTGTGCTGAGTGAAATAGGTCAGTGGCAGAAGGACAAATAACTATATGATCTCACTTGCATGAAATAAGCAAATATACAGAAACCAAAGATGATTACTCATTACCAAGGGTGGGAAGGAGGGGAAAAGGGGAACCATTGTTCAAGGGGCAGTGAGTTTATGTTAATGGTGGCAGAATGATTTGGAAAAGGATAGCAAGAATGGTTGTATAACATGAAGAATGTAGTCAGTGTCACTGGATTACAGAAACTGGTGAATTGGCAAATGCTCTGTTGTGTCTGTTTTTAGCACAATTAAAAAACATACCAACCCTATGGAGCACAGTTCTCCTCTGACACACACGGGGTCGCTGTGAGTCAGAATCAACTAGATGGCAATTGGTTGGTTTTATATAGGTCCTCAGGCACCCAGGGAATATGTTCGAAGCCAAATTTTCAAAAGTTTCGGTTGACAGTTGTGGAAGAAGACAGGTTGGAGGTGGAAGACAGCATTATGGGAACTGAAGGCAGCCCAGGACAGCCTGCCATTGTGATTTATCCCCTTTTCTCTTGCAGCACACTTCCATATGGCCCCTGTCCCTGGTCGAGTTCTTCCTCAGACCACATCACTATCTATCAAAAACGAAAGGACTCACCTTATTGGCTGTATCTAGTCTTGCTTATATTGGCAGGTAAGAATTGCATAAAGTCAAGTTAAGCTTGTCATTCACAGCTCCATGAGATATTACAGAAAAGTATACTGTAATGTCAAAATTCCTTTATCTTCGGTCAACAAGGATTTTGTTGTTGTTAGATGCTCTCGAGTCAATTCTGGCTTATAGGGACCCCATGTAAAACAGAACGAAACACTGCCCAGTCCTGCGCCATCCTCACAATCGTTGATATGTTTGAGCCCATTGTTGCAGCCACTGTGTCAATCCATCTCGTTGAAAGTCTTCCTCTTTTTCAACGATCCTCTTACATTACTAAGCATGATGTCCTTCTCCAAGGGCTGGCCCTGCTGATAACACGTCCAAAGTACGTGAGATGAAATCTCTCCATGCTTGCTTCTAAGGAGCATTCTGGTTGTACTTCTTCCAAGACAGACTTGCTCATTCTTTTGGCAGTCCATGGTATATTCAGTATTCTTCACCAGCACCATAATTCAAAAGCATCAATTCTTCAGTCTTTCTTATTCATAGTTCAGCTTTCGCATGCGTATGAGGTGATTGAAAATGCCATAGCTTGGACGAGGCCCACCTTAGTCCTCAAAGTGACATCTTTGCTTTTTAACACCTTAAAGAGATCTTTTGCAGCAGATTTGCCCAGAGCAATACATTCTTCGATTTCTTGACTGCTGCTCTCATGATGTTGATAGAGGATCCAAGTAAAATGAAATCCTTAACAACTTCAATCTTTTCTCTGTTTATCATGATGTTGTGAGGATTTGTTTTTTTTCTTTATGTTGAGGTAGAATCCATACCGAAGGCTGTAGTCTTTGATCTTCATCAGTAAGTGCTTCAAGTCCTCTTTGCTTTCAGCAAGCAAGGTTGTGTCATCGGCATAATGCAGGTTGTTAATGAGTCTTCTTCCAATCCTGATAATGCATTCTTCTTCATATAGTACAGCTTCTCAGATTATTTGCTCAGCACATACGTTGGATAAGTATGGTATAAGGATACAACCCTGATGCACACCTTTTCTGATTTTAAACGACACAGTATCCCCTTGTTCTGTTTGAATGACTGCCTCTTGGTCTATGTACAGGTTCTGCAGGAGCACAATTAAGTGTTCTGGGATTCCTATTCTTTGCAATGTTATTCATAATTTGTTATGATCCACACAGTCAAATGCCTTTACATAGTCAATAAAATACAGGTAAACATCTTTCTGGTATTCTCTGCTTTCAGCCAAGATCCATCTGACATCTGCAATGATAGCCCTCATTCCACATCCTTTTCTGAATCCAGCTTGAATTTCTGGCAGTTCCTTGTCGATGTTCTGCTGCAACCGTTTTTGAATGATTTTCAGCAAAACTTTACTTGTGTATGATACTAATGATATTGTTCGGTAATTTCCGCATTCTGTTGGATTACCTTTCTTTGGAATGGGCACAAATACAGATCTATTCCAATGAGTTGGCCAGGTAGCTGTCTTCCATATTTGTTTGCATAGATGAGTGAGCACTTCTAGTGCTGTATCTGTTGTAACATCTCAATTGATATTCTGTCAATTCCTGGAGCCTTGTTTTTCACCAATGCCTTCAGTGCAGCTTGGACGTCTTCCTTCAGTACTGTTGGTTCTTGATCATATGCTAACTCTTGAAGTGGTCAAAGGGTGACCAGTTCTTTTTGTTACAGTGACTCTGTATTCCTTCCATCTTCTTATGATGCTTCCTGTGTTGTTCAATATTTTTCCCATAGATTCCTTCAGTATTGCAACTTGAGGCTTGAATTTTTTCTTCCGTTCTTTCAGCTTGAGAAATGCCAAGCATGTTTTTCCCTTCTGGTTTTCTTATTCCAGGTCTTTGCACATTTTATTATAATACTTTACTTTGTCTTCTTGAGCCGCCCTTTGAAGTCTTCTGTTCAGCTCTTGTATTGTCATCATTTCTTCTGTTCACTTTATCTACTCTGTGTTCAAGAGCTAGTTTCAGAATCTCCTCTGACATCCATTTTGGTCTTTTCTTTCTTTCCTGTCTTTGAGTGCCCTTTTTTCTTTATTCATGTATGCTGTCCTTGATGTCATCCCACAATTTGTCTGGTCTCCGGTCGTGAGTGTTCAATGCGCCAGATCTGTTCCTGAGATGGTCTTTAAATTCACGTGGGATATAATCAAGGTAATACTTTGACTCTCATGGACTTGTTTTAATTTTCTTCAGCTTCAGGTTGTACTTGCACATGAGCAGTTGGTGGCCTGTTCCGCAGTTGTCCCCTGGCCTTGTTCTGACTAACGATATTGGGCTCCTCCATTGTCTCTTTCTGCAGATTTTTAGTCGATTTGATTCCTGTGTATTACATCTGGCCATGTCCTTGTGTGTAGTTGCTGTTTATGTTGTTGAAAAAAGGTATCTGCAAGGAATAAGTCATGGGTCTTGCAAAATTCTATCTTGCGGTCTCCAGCATTGTTCCCATCACCAAGGCCATGTTTTCCAATTGCTGATCCTTCTTTGTTTCCAACTTTTGCGTTCCAGTCAGTGCATCTTGATTGGATGTTTGATCAATTTCAAGCTGCAGAAGTTGGTAAAAATCTTCAATGTCTTCATCTTTAGCATTAGTAGCTGGTGTGTAAACATGAATAATAATCATATTAACTGGTCTTCTTGTAGGTGTATGGATATTATCGTGTCACTGACAGCGTTGTACTTCAGGATAGATCTTGAAATGTTCTTTTTGATGATGAATGCAACACTATTCTTCTTCAATTTGCCATTCCCGGCATAGTAGGTTGTCTGATTCAGAATGGCCAATACCGGTCCATTTTAGCTCACTAATGCCTAGGATATTGATCTTTATGTATTCCATTTCATTATTGACAACTTCCAATTTTCCTAGATTCATACTTCGTACATTCCACATTTCAATTATTAACGAATGTTTCTTCTCATTTTGAGTAATTCCACATCAACAAATTAAAGTCCTGAAAGCTTTACTCCATCCACATGATTAAGATCAACTCTGACACCTCCTGAGGAGGCAGCTCTTCCCCAGTCATATTTTGAGTGCCTTCCAACCTGAGGGGCTCATCTTCCAGTACTATATCAGACAGTGTTCCACTGCTATTCATAAGATTTTCATTGGCCAATTTTTTTTTAGAAGTAGATCGCCAGGTCCTTCTTCCTAGTCTGTCTTAATCTGGACGTTGTCTGAAACCTGTCCACCATGGGTGACCCTGCTGGTATTAGAAATTCTGGTGACATAGCTTCCAGCATCACAGCAACATGCCAGCCACCACAGTATGACAAACTGACAGACGAGTGGTGGAACAAGGATTTAACTATCTTTAAATCTTCAGGTGAGAAGGATTGTTATTGTTTATTCATGGAAACAGTACCTACACAGGAACACACAGGTGTGCACATACACATGCGCACACAAACCACCCCCACCACCTCCATCTCAATCCATGGGTTCTTCCCTCTCTCTCTCAAGAATTAGTCATTGCAATTATATATATATACGTATTGCTTTCCCAAGAAAATGTTGATCTTCTGTTCCATTTGGAATTGACATGTTTGAATGGCTGAATGTTCCAAGGCATCTAAACATATTCCATCTAAAAAGGCATATTTCCTGGGTACAGCATGCTACTTTTTGTCCATGCCTGTTGGGTGTATCATTATGGGCTTATTTGCATCAACCTCTGGCACTAGAGTTCCTAGAGTACATTTGGGCAATGGCGCAGCAGCCTATGGAGCAGACTAACTGGAGGGGAGATGACTTAAGTAACTGGCCTAGATTTCATCTTTCAACCACCTGGTGACACTAATTCTCAGAAATGCACCCCTATAACCTAGAATCAAGGGAATGTGCTTGGCCTGCAGCTACTGACTGGAAAACCCCTTTTGTATTCTAGAACCTTCTTACCCGGTACCATGCATTTTTACTTCTACTGAAAGGAGCTCAGGCTCAATATCTGCATATGAGAGGCTAATCATAATATTCATTCTCTGGTCTAGATTTATATAAGCTGTTCATATCTGACAATCTGGGTAATCCCCCTTCCTATATGGGAAAAGGAGCCCAGGAGGCACAGTGGCTAAGGGTTCAGCTGCTAATGGAAAGGCTGAGGATTCAAACCCACTAGCTGCTCCATGGGAGAAAGATGTGGCAGTCTGCTTCATAAAGATTACAGCCTTGGAAACCCTATGGGGCAGTTCTACTCTGTCCTATAGTGTCAGTCTGAGTCAGAATTGACTTGATGGCAATGGATTTGGTTTCATTTGGGGTTTTATGGGGGTACGTTTGATTCAGTACAGAGCTCTGTCAGGAACGGAAGTCAAAGAGAGACACATTCCAAAGGACTGGCTCTAGCAGTGCCTGTTTCATGGACTTCACCAGCCTTTGTCTTAAAGTTTATAACCTTTTGCCCAGAACTCAGATTGATGCTTCCTCCCTAACCCTGCCTTCCCTTTCACAGTGTCTGATCATCTCTCCCTTCTGATTCCTTCTTTCCCTAATTGTCAAAAGTCTTTCTTCTCCTGTCTTGAATAAAACACTTGCTCAGTAAATCTACTTTAAGACTTCAGTGGTCTACAGTGCTCTCCAGTCTGGGGCTTTGACAATATAATAGAGGACACTTGTAGAGAATTATGCATACATTGGGGATCTACTGGTCGTTGCTGTCTGGAGCACTGTGATGAGGATGCTGAGGGTATATCTAGTCCTGCCAAGAAAGAGTTCTGTGATTATTTGGCAATGTTTGTTAATAGCATGAGAATGGAGGGTAGTAGATATACACCAGGGATTTGCCACTTCTGGCTTAACCCAATGCAATAAATCACTAAAGATAGAATATCTAGGACCTGTGGTGCGTTAAGAGAATATATACAGTAATAGCTGCAGTAAAGTTGATTTCAACTCATGATGACCTCATGTGTGTCAGACTACAACCATACTCCACAGGGTTTTCAATCGCTGATTTTTTGGAAGTAGATCACCGGGTCTTTCTTCCGAGGCAACTCTGGGTGAAC